AGATAGAGGTTATATGGAATTCGGTGGTTGTGGAGGCGTACGGGGATAGGGTCTTGGGTGGTCTCAAAGTGAAGAATTTGCTCACCGGTGAAGTTTCCGACTTGCAAGTCTCGGGTTTGTTCTTTGCCATCGGGCATGAACCGGCCACTAAGTTCTTGGATGGCCAGCTGCAGCGCGATTCAGATGGCTATGTTCTCACTCAGCCGGGTACAACCAAGACCAGCGTGCCTGGCGTTTTTGCTGCTGGAGATGTGCAGGATAAGAAGTACAGGCAGGCTATTACTGCTGCTGGCACTGGTTAGTCAATTTATTCTTTTGATTGTCATCAAGCTGCTTTTTTTTTAATTGCACTGCTAGATTAGAAATACCTGCCATGAAAATGAAACTGCAAATATTTGTGTTGCGATTTATATAGAAAGAAACTTAGGCCATTGTATATTGGTTCGGTTGATTCGACAATTAATTGGCACCCTGACGAGCATCGGGATTCGAGTCTTCGGAATAGTATTATCCGGTGAGATATCTGTAAGTTTCACTTTCAATCCTTTATGAAGCGGTGGCATGTTTGACCTGGACCGGAAGATCATTGATCACCTAAACTTCCTCTGACCAAAAGAAGAAATAAAAGGAACTTAGGCAATTCCATCTGCATTTGCTCTGTTTGTGCACTTGGTGTTATGGTTGAGTTGAACTAACTTTGATCTGCAACAATGCAGGTTGCATGGCAGCTTTGGAAGCTGAACATTACTTGCAAGAGATCGGATCGAGCAATTGATCGTTTGATCAGTGTTCTACCGGGGATTTTATTTGAAAGTTGTTTGATTTGAACCACCTTATTTGTCTATGTTTAGATTCATCTTATTCTGGATCAATATTAGTACTGCCATTGTTATTCATATTGATATCTGGTCGCAATGGAGGTGGATTAGCATTATCATTTCTGTTATGTCAGTAAAGAACACAATTTCTACAATGGATTGGCCTTATGAGTTATGACTACATTTTTCTTTGTTCAATTGTGTTGTAGCGAAGCTTGTTGAGATTGGATATGGAAAATTGTGGATCGAAAACTAGTTAAGTTAGGGAAGCATCATTTACTAGTTAAACAGGTGAACCAAGTTACTTTTACTAGGTAAACAAGGATCGAACAAGTTTTTCGAGCTTAAGCAATAAACCGAGTTTCATAGCGCTTTATTTTAGCACCAGCCTTCCTCACAGGGATGATTATTGCACTATTGTGACATCGGTAGTCGACGTCGATTATTATTATATTGGCTATAGCAAAGCTAGTTTTGGCCGTGGGAACAAGTACAAAAGCCGCTAGCACCACAAAAGCTATGGCCGAATTGGCATGATTTATTTGCACATTCGACATGGCTGGAACATGCGAGTACTTGATCAACAACAGCAACAATTTTGGTGGCTGCATCGCAAGGACATGGCAAACAACATGGGAGACAATCACATACCCCCAACGTCTCTGCAGGAGACTAACATAGTAACACTGTCCAATTTACTTTTCATGTCGAAATCGTTTTCTAACCAGTCAATCAGTTCAAGCAACAACATTTCTATGTACACCGGAGACACATTCAAACTTTTTTAGCATCAACGTGAGACTAAAGTTCCGGAAAAAAACATACCCAGAGAGCTTGTTTGCAGATAGTAACGCTCAGAGCTAGTAAAATGTACATGCATGAGGAAGTAAAATCTTTACAAAAATGTAAAAAACCAAAATACAATCGGAATATAATGAAGCTGAAAACATCACAGTTGTCGCATTTGACAGCCATAAAGGCACATAAACAGGATTTCAGCACACAAGGAAATTGGAACATGCAAAACCAGAGCAGTTTATAAAATGGATTGTCGCTTACAAGCAGCAGCATGGGGATGCCATAAAGACAGGATGTGACGACAGGATAAACAAAAATACAGTTATGTAACCAGAATGGTTTACGTGTCAACAGATTTCGTGTCACCAACATCCTTTTTGAGATATCAGTTCATGCAACAAAGATGACCCTAGTTCCGAGTTCTTAGCTGTTAAAATCATTAGAAGTTTAATCCCTAAAGTGAATCAAAATCTTTCCTCCTTTCTAATAGCTCTAGTCTATCATTAACAGCTATCCGCAAGTTACCCAATAAGTGGAAATAAATGCATCACTTATCCATTAATATGCCAAATTATTTTCATTGTGTTATTACTTATCCATCTTATAAAGCAAGTTAGCAACCTACTTATCTAAAGTCTAAAAGGGAATTAAAGTTGCATTTTTTCCTTATAACAATTTTTGGAAAGATTCTTGATATTGTCACCACAGACTACCGACTTCGTTATTTCAAAGAAGAAAACCCCGAGGGAATCTTAGCACTCAATTCGTCAAACCTAAATTCAATCAAACGTTTGAAGAAGCACATGATTTAACCAATGCCAATATAAAGAAATAACATTAAAAATGAAGTTATCATTTGTAAAAACAAGAATATCGATATGGTAAACCCCACTAAATAAAACTTACCAAAAATGCAAATCTATAACAAGTAACAACCACTAAGGGGGAAAATGATAACTTAAAAGCCTCAATGTACAGCTTAAAGTTCCCTAAATCGTCAGAGTTTTGAAAAGTACCTATTTCCAGAAGTCGGTGGACAGAATATACATGGTTTAACACTGAGTATACCATGTAACTGTTGTCAAGAAAGCTACAACTAAACTCAAAGTATCCAACCTAGCTATTTCACCATTCCATGAACTGATGCCTAAAACATGGAAATTGTGAAATCTGCTTCGACTCCACAAGCTAGTACTAGGATCTTGACCGTTATACAATTGAAGCAGCCCTCCTATAGCATTCGCCGAGCACCCTAAAAGTTTGGTCAAGCTTGAATAGAGTTCTCCATTTCTTCCCCATCACTGCAGCAAGAATTGGTCACAATTTTCCCTACTTCTTTCTCACAACTAAAGACCTGCCTTCCATCAGTCGCAGCCCCTACCTCCTCCTGGCTATACTCCTCAACCAAATCCTTCTCCACCATCACTTCCGTTTCCTTCCAATAGACCATGTCACAAAAGAAATCAGTCAAAACAGTTTCATAGCCTGGCATTTTCGCATAACCCGGAAAATAGTTAATGTCGATGATAAGATAACGGTTCCGAATCGGGTATTTCTGATCACGTCAAAGTTAAACAAGTTCAAATTCATTGCCTTTCTCAAACCCTTAGCAATATCAGTCATGAAACTCTGTGGCGGCAATTCATTGTCCTCCAAATGCATCATCTTATAGTACTTATCATCACTTTTCTGATGTGTGGCCAAATTGGAAACTTGAGAAAACGATAGAGAGCCTTCTAAACTATTCAATTTCTCCTCGGCAACATCTGGTAACGACATCCTTTTAACACATCTCACATATTCCCCAACCACGTAAACCTTAAAAATAACACCTCCATGGTTAACAAATCCTGCAGAACAATCGGGGGCTTAAGCTTGTTCAACCCTTCGTGGTTAAATACCAGAGCCATTTTGTGTGATTTTGCACTAACATCCGCCACCAAGGGCTTGGCAATAACGGGGAACTTGAGCAATTCCCAAGCATGATTATCAAAAAGGGTTTCTTGATCGTAAATCACAATCTGTTTAGGGATTCTTATATTTAACATCATCATGTTCCACCGATACTACTTCTAAATGAATATTAAATATAAATATATGTCCTCAAATAATATTTAAAATGGTCACGTTGAATTAATAATATATTTATCAGTCAAATAATAATTATAGAGTCCGGTTCAACGGTTAAGTGTTTTTGGGACTTAAAATCTTAAATTTGAATCTTACTTCATATTTTTATTTTCATTTGATTGATTAAATTTATTGAATACTTAAAGTAGTGTAAATTCAAATAATAATCAAATTTGTAAGATTTTTAAATGTTTAAATTTATTATATTATTTTGAATAATGACTAAATTAGTAAAATATATAAATTTTAGGATTAAAATTTTTATTATATCGGATTATGCTATCATCTCTGTTAAGTTAACATTATAATGACTAACATAAAAAAATGTAACATTAGTAACTAAATTTGTAAAAACATTACTCAAAATAAAAAAAGAGATAATAATATGATGACCAATAATATAATTTATCCAAAAAACTAAATAAAGTAATCGCCCTACCTATATCATCTACTATAATGTTTATTAAATAATAAAATTTATATCACGAATTAATTGAAAATTAATTCAATCAGGAAAAATAATATTTATCACAAATGTGTTTTAGTTTTCTTTTTCCTTCACGTGTTATATAATTAACGATATGAGCTAAACGTTAACTGTTGGTTAAGATATGATAAAATTATATTTTAATGATATCTACTAGCATCATCGTTACTTTCAAATTTGGTTCAATGTCATAATATTTCAAGCACTTGCTTAATGACTTAATACAACTCAAACGGTTATGAGATTAGATTTTTTCATGTCACAATCAATTGAGTAACATACAGCTCAAAAGATCACCAATTATTTAATGAAAAATGATAAATTTATAATATATAAATAATCATATGACTATTTTGTAACTTTCAATAGTTGAGATACTCAACAAAGTAGCGCCCTATAATTAATGAATTATTTTGTAACTTCTAATAATCAAATGACTTAACAAAATAACACCTTAAAGTCGAGATATCATTCGTGTACTTTATCCTAAAAAGTAATATTATTTTTTTATTAATCTGAAGTGAGTATAAAATAGTATTTACTTAAAGATAATTTTTAATCTTTTAACATTGTATGTTCGTATCGATAACATTCTTAATGCTCGAATTCAAGATTTAAAATCAATAATAACAATTCCTCGCCCTAAAAAGTAATAAATAAAAGTAAAGGGTACTTCGTAGAAAGCTTTTCGTCGTGGAAGGAGATTTACGATCACGTCCCTATATTTTTATTTATTTATTTTCGAGGACCTCACCCTCCTTAATAATAAACGATGTAAAACTAAAGCGGAATTGAAAGTCCCAAAAGCCCCAGGCGACCGAGAGAAGAGAACGCAAAGGCATACAAAAGCAAAGGTTTTGGTTCCTTCCTCTTTTACTATCTTCATTCTTCAATTGATTGAATTGATGATTTTCTTTAATGAAAAGAGCATTTCAAATCGCAATATTGTGTGATAAAAAGTTAGGGTTTTCTTTTTTATGGATGCTCATGTTGATAATTCAATTGTATTATGGAATTTATCTGGTTGGGTTATGGAATTTTGATTCATGGTAGCTTTGTAACATAAAAAATTGGGTTTTTGTTGATTTTTTTATCACATAGCATTCCGACAAGCCCTTTTGGTTTTTTTTCTTTTAAATTGTTGTCTCCAGGATTTGGGAGTTCTGACGGTTGATAAGATCTTAAGCGATGGCTTTGCAAGAAAAGTTAGATAGTTTTAAACGTCAGCAGGAGAAGTGTCAGTCGATGCTCTCCAACATCGCCGCCAAATCCTCATCATCTAGAAGCACCGCAACTCCGAGATCGGCACCCGCAGCTGCCTCGCCTTTGCCCAATGCAAGGCCTTCTGCGCCTATCAAATTCTCTAATGATACCGAGAGGCTCCAGCATATTAACAGCATCAGGAAAGCTCCTGTTGGAGCTCAGATGAAGCGTGTTATTGACATTCTTTTTCAGGTTCTTATAACCTTTTTAATTTAATCATTATGCGTTTGATGCTATAATCAGAGTATTTACCTTGTTAACATGGGTATATGATGTTTGTTGTTTCGGTTATCCTCGGTAAAGTCATGTTTTGCTGGATCGGATGATGAATCTGTCATGCTGCAAAATTGTTTTTGTTGTGATATTGATAGCAATGTTATACAAATATGAGATGAAGGAGAATCCTCTTGTCGGTTTTGTGCAAACTTTAGTTGTTTAAAGTTTTCTGCTCCTGGTCCTGATTATTGTGTACATTCTTTGCCATTTTCTACTGTTATTCTCATCGCATTGAAGTTGTGATAGTTTTACCCTGCATTTTTCATGGTTGGTAATTCAAGCAAATTCAATCATGTTTTAGAATTCTTTTATAGTAGTTGATTCAAGTTTTTCCGCGGTCAGAGTTTGGAATAGCCACCAGTAGGTCCTTAAAGGAGCATTGTTATATTCCTTCGTAGCTCTTTTAAGTTGAAACTGGTCGGTGTTCTTTACTATATTGGAAACAATATTCAAAGTGTTCGGTAAGGGAAGCTCAGGTGTGGGATTCTATTATATCATCAACCTCAAGCAGAATATTGATGGTTTGATTTTACATCAAAGAACGGCCAGGGACTTGAGATTTTATTGTGTACCCAATTTTCCGAGATCTTTTAAAAGTGCTAGTTGACAGTTCTATGGACTTTTCAAATGTTTGTTTCTGCTGACATTACTCTCATGTTATTGAAAAGAGAATTAGCTATTAGTGCTCTGTAAGGAGCTGAAAATTTTAATTAAGCTGTAATATATGCATTGATGGTTGCAGACAAGGCAAGCGTACACACCCGAACAGATCAATGAAGCATGTTATGTTGATGTCAATGGTAACAGAGATGTCTTTGAGGGCTTGAGGAAAAATCCCAAAGTAAATTTTGATGGAAAGCGCTTCTCTTACAAGGTGATGTTTACTTAGTTGATGCTCTGACCTTATGATAGACTTGCTCTTTTTTGTTCTCAGCATGTACGTAATAACAAGCACTGCCATATTGCTTAGTCTCTCATAAAGGATCGCTACATGGTATATGTTATCCTTACAGGCTAAGCACGATGTAAAGAACAAGAACGAACTTCTTGTCTTGATTCGGAAATTTATAGAAGGCATTGCTGTTATTGATCTTAAGGATGCTTACCCAAATGTGATGGAAGATTTGCAGGTATAAATGAGTTGATATTTTCCTCCACTTCCTACTGCTTTTATGTCTAGATTTAAGTTTCCATATTGGATCTTGTTAGATAATTAAACTTCGTAAAAGCAACTGTAGAACGTTATGCGGGATATGTTACATAAACATGTAAATGTTCTTTTTGTAGGCACTGAAAGCTGCGGGTCAGATTTGGTTGTTATCGAATTTTGATTCTCAGGAAGACATTGCCTTCCCAAATGATCCGAGGGTACCTATCAAGGTAGATGATGACCTTAAAGAATTATTCCGGTCAATCGAATTGCCACGAGACATGCTCGACATCGAGAAGGATCTCCAGAAGAATGGAATGAAACCTGCTACAAACACGGCAAAAAGAAGAGCTGCCGCCCAAGTGCAGGGCATTTCCTCCAAGCCCAAACCTAAACAGAAGAACAAGGAGTTCTCCAAGAAGGCTAAACTTACCAACGCCCATCTTCCTGAACTGTTCCAGAATCTGAAAAATTCCTGAACCCAGAATGGGGTTGATGAACAGCTCTACGTATTCACAAGCATTTGCATATAAACATAGACCAAGCGAGCAACAAAGATTGATCTGATTTGTACCGATAAGAGTATTTACATTTTCTTATTGTTTGATTTGGTTTTTTTGCAGGCTTGAATCTTCATATCTGAACTTGAAAATACACGATAAACATGACTACAAGATCCTGTAGTTTGTACTTCCATTGTTCCATATCTTGTGTTTTAGACATGTGTTCATTTAAAGCACTCATAATTCGATTCGACAATTCAAACCGAACATGTCTATATATTGCCTTTTTTCGGTACTCTATTGAGAGATGGGGATGGAATTTTGATTTAACGGGTTTCAAATTTATAAGGTCGTAGTTTTTGTTGAAAATTTGATCTTTTTATAATATTTTAATTAATTCGTTCGGTAAATAAAAATGAGATTATATATATCGGTTTGAGTGTAAATTTTGAAGATCTTAAAAATTTGATTGAATTTTAAATTAGATGAAATATTTCTAAATTCAGATGAAATTGGATGATAAATAAAAGATTAAGTTTAGGTTGAATTCATGTAGGACATAGCTTTGTCTTTGCATGTATACATCCTTTTATTTGTATTTTTAGGGTTGTAATTAATTTTTAATATTTTTATAAATAATTTAGAGTGATTATAAAATAATATTTATTTAAATTTTTTAACCTATTAATAACGTGAATACTCACCCTTACTGTGGAGTTTTGGTTTGTTTATCAACATGACTCCCTTACCAATTATAAAAATAAATATAGAGCTTCATCTTATTGATAACAATTACATGTATACATGATGAATCATGTTCCTATTACTTTATTCATGGATATAACATCAAAGAAAACGTGGGTTTGACCTTTTAAAAAAAAACTGAAGATCTACAAAGTAGTACACTTCATCAATTCTTCCACAAAATATTTGAACTTTTAGTCGGTGGCCGTTTCTTCTTCTTCATCATCACCGACACCTCGCCCATGAAGTCTCAAGCTCTCCTACTCTCTACCGCCTTACACGGCGCGGCTATTCGGATGAACCACCGTGAATGACTGTGCCTGTTACACTAATACATATACATGACTGCTACGGAAAAGGAAAGGAAAGAAAAAAGAACTGAACTATCATCTAATCAGTTGTGGAGAGGGTTTGGTCCTCCTGGAACTGTCCGATACGGAACTTCATAACCGGTCGACTCTCCGGAGAGTTTTCTGCTGGGAAATGCTGCCATGTGGAGAAGCGTAAGAAGAGGTTTATGGCGGAAAGTGTGATCGTGAAGGAGATAAACAAGAACTTGAGGTTGTGGATGATCATTGTTTTGATGATGATAACGAGGAGATGAACCGTAAGAAGATTCTAGAAATGGGTTGGAGGTTGAAGATGAAGGTGTGGACAGTGTATTCATATGGATCAATGAAACAAGCAACTAGCATGTCTATATATATATATATACAAGTCGAAACTAGTTATATTGATTTTTCTCGTACTGGCAGAAATGCCCTTCAAACTTGGCTGAATCTGCTCATTATAAAAGAGAGGTGAGAGGCTAAATTGGTTCTTTGAGTCTGGTGGAGTGTTAACTTGAAGAACCGTTCTAAGCGTTGACTTGACACTATTTGGATCTATGTTAATGACAATTTGGATTTTTATAATTGTATTTCAAAGAATAAGATTAAATTAGGGTAAAGTGTACCAAAAGGTCATTGAACTGTGCTATTATTCGATTAATTGATAACCATTTTAACAGTTTGATAAAATTTAATAATAATTTTTCAATAGTTTGATAAATTTAATGATCATTTTATACCATCCCAATAAATTTAATGACCATTTTATAATTTATAAAAGTTTAATAGTCAAAATAATCATTTAAAAACTCCACACAAATGAATTTAAAGGGATACAACAATCTTGGTTAATTTCCCTCTGATAATACTCCGTACCAATAAGAACAACATTAACTTTAAAGCAATACAGAGATCAAACACCCAATACTGAGATTTTAAAGCTCAATGATGTCCCCATGAAGGTTCCAGTTTGTCAGCATTTCCATCATTGGTCACCCGCAGCAGTTTCAGCCTCGGTTCCCGTAGATTTCCCTTCGTTATCGTCCTGTTTCGTTTCCGATTCGGGTTCCCCGCTGGACGGTTTCTTCATCGAAGTTGTCTTCGTGAGGTGACTGTAACTGCCTGTCTCCTTGAACAACTGTGAAAAGTGGTGCTTGCAATAGAGGAAACCATCTAATGCGGCGTATGAAGATGTTGTAAGGAAGCAACCTCCATGTGCACACCTGAAGCAATTTTTATGATATATTTCTCCCTCCACAGTCACCTGTTAATGTATCACAGTTTTATGTTACACGAACATGTTCGAGAATATATTAGACCCGAATATATATATAAAAGATGAAAAATAAGAATCTAGTTAGCAGACCTTCTCTAGTGGATAGCAAGTTTTATTGCAGACTCCACATTTCTCTTGAGTTCCAGAGAACATGGCTGCAACTTTGCTTGGAGCCCTTTGCTGTATAAATAAAATGATATGATACGAATATATGAATATTTAGGTCAATATCGCAAAAAATACAATGCTTTAAGGAAATTTCGAGTTTACCAGTCCATTAGGCTTAGGTTTATCTGAAAAATCATTAAAAAAAACAGTGTTAGAGAATCATATGTGACTGTTAAACACCAATGCATTCCTTCTTTTTTTTTCTTCTTTTTCTTGAAAAATCTCACCTTTGGATGTATAAGTGCCAGTCGCCTTGCAGACTTGCTCAAAGTGAGGCTTGCAGTAAAGGACTCCATCCCTTGCACAATAGGTGCTCACCTGTTCACGATAGGTGCACATTCAGACATGTTAAGTTGTTCATGTAGTAAATAAGCGTACATGTATATGTATATATGTATATACGTACAACGAGAAGTCCATTGCATTTGCTGCATCTGAAGCAAGTCTTGTGATAAGGGACTCCATCAGCAGATGTCATATCATAGAAATGAACGGTCTTATCACAAGACCTGCATTTCTCTGTTGTCCCACTGAATGCCATCTCCTTCTTGATAACAAAATCTTAGGCGCAGATGGCAAAGAAAGAAGGAAACAAAAAATAAAAGAAAAAGAGAATAGGGTTTGTGGAAGACAACGAGAATGAGTTGTTTGATCTCTACCTCGAATCATTGATATAGGAATCCGATTCAACTCAGGGCCATTGCATGCATGTAATTTCAAACTTTCTTTATTTAGTAAATGTTAAAAACAGACAAAATGTAGGGTTCAATTTAATCCACGATTGTTAAAGCTACGTGATCAAAGGTTCATCCCTAAATAACACAGTAAGAATAGGGTCTTGTTTCCATGGAAGAACGGACATGCAAGCTTATATGCTGACCAAGTTTTCATCCATCAAAATATAAATGTATATATATTATTGGATTTCTAATGAGAGTTGAATGTGACAAAGGTTAAAAGTTTCGCTCTTTAACGAGTTCAAGAAGAGTGTATCGGTTTTTCTATATTTGTAATTTGAATTTAAATTTAAAAAATAATATAAATGAAGTAAAAAAATTATGAATTTCAAATTCTTTTTCTATATTTTCAAATATATAATTATAATAAAGAACAAATAATTTGTACATCAAGTATGCATACGTCCAATATAATATTAGAAATATTAAATTCTTTATATAAAAATTTTGTAATATATATATATATATATATTAAAAATAATAGAAAATATATTTTTATGAATTTTTTATATAAATATTTGTATTCTAATATTTAAATTTAAATTTATTAAAAATAATATAATAAAATATATATTACAATAATTTTATATTTCTCCACCTAAATATTATATTCTTATCAAATAAATCAGATAAGATAATAAAATATCTTTAATAATGTGCTAAATATATTATAACTCGAAAATCATATTCCTATAGATCAAGGATGATGAACACATGTTTCTCGGAGTTCCATCACGTTCATTGAACCGCATGTACAGGCGTCGTTCAAACGTGCATAACGCTTTTACTTCTGCTTATATTCATCACATTCATTGAATCGCATATACATGCGTCATTCAAATTTGCATTGTTGACATGCATGGTGCTTTTGCTTTTGCTTATATTATATTTAAATTGTTATTCCCGCTAGTTTCTTCTTAAATAAGCGGGAAGAATTTAAACTTGCAGAAGCATTGCAAGCTAAACAAAGAAGGAAGCTAAGAGAAAAACATAGAAAGTACAGAGATATGAAGCTCAAAGTGTACTCAGATCGCCTTTCTCAGCCAGTTCGAGCCGTCATCATCTTCTGCAAGTACTTTTTCTACCTTTTTAGAACTATGTTATCTGGGTTTTTCTTCTTGTTTGAAAATTTTCTTTCACTTTTCCGTTTCTTTTTGTGGTAAATTAGGGTGAATGGTATAGAATTTGAGGAGGTCAGAGTAAATCTCGCAAAACGTGCACATTTTACTCCTGAGTTTTCAGGTATTCAATTCTTCCCCTTCTTAATTCACTATTCAAATTAATCCCATGTATTAATCCAGCAATGACTAAAGTAATGACACTGTCTTCTTGTTTTTTTTTCCCCAATGGATTCGTTGCAGAAATTAATCCCATGAATCAGCTGCCTGCCATTGTTGATGGAGAATTTAAGCTCTTTGAGAGGTAATTAAGGACCCCCTTTTCCCCCTTAGTTATAGATTCCATTATATATCTACATTATAATTCATTATTTATCTATTTATTTTTGTTGTTGTTGCAGCCATGCCAATCTTATCTATCTTGCTTCTTCATATGCTGGAGTTGCAGATCATTGGTAAGTGCAGTTGCTTGTTCACATTTCTTATGGATGGTTGAACAAATTCAATGGTATGTCGATGGCTCATTGTTCTATGATGTTAACTAACCCATACGCAGATCTCAAGTGTACTATAGGTCACCGAAACTTATGCAGTGCAATCCGATTGTAACGAGTTTTCGTTTCTCTCTTTCGAGGTATCCGTCTGATATTTTCAAGAGAAGTAAGATACACTCGGTGTTGGATTGGCACCACTCCAACTTACGCCGTGGTCCAGGTGTATAATAATTAACCCTCAAATGGATCAAACTCTTTAGGTTCTTCTTGGTTGTTCATGATGATTGGTATCTGCATTTGTTTTATGATCCGCGCACTTATTTTCCGTAAAATATAGGACATCGGAGATGCTAAAATATCTTCCATTCTGCACTTTCGGCATCTCTGCCATCTCTTTATGTGCATGCTTTTTTCTAAACACGAATCGTATCGGGACCTATACGTTACCGGATATCTATTATGTTTGTGCGGTGTTTATGTATATCAATGCTCCTTTTAATTGGGTGAGACACAGCTTTTGAAGTCGATGCATATGTTTTACAGTCACAATTGTTCAGAATTCTGTTTTGGCTCCTGTTTTTCGCCGTCCATTTAATCCAGAAAGAACTGCCGAAGGTGAGAAAATTCTGTCCTGTTTTAACTTGTGGTGTTTTCTATACTCATAGTCCTCTTGTTAACTATTTTGTTCAAAAATCGATAAAAATCAGTTGGTTTAGTGGGACAATGCATTAGATTTTTCAAGTAAGGTAAAGAGTTTAGTCCTTATATTTGTAAATTGAACAAATTGAATATTTTTTATATTCGAGTTATCTACTTTTCTTCGTTTATAACGTTAATATTCAAATTTATGGTATTCTTTATTATTTTATAATATATATGATTCTATCATTTTCCGCTAAAATTATATAGATGAAAATCATCATCGACAATCACAACCATCATTTCTATTGTTATACGTCATTATAATATAAAATTATAAAAGGGTAAAGTATGCAAATGGTCGTGTTTAGGGGTGCATAAAAAATTCGAATATCCGATTTTGCGAAAAAAATATCCGAAACCGGATTTGGGAAAAACCGTTTTTTTTTAATCGGATCGGATTTTTTTAAACCGGTTATTTTAACCGGTTTGGAGAAAAAAACCTAGACCGGGTTTTTTACCAGATAAAAAACCGGTTTTTATCCGGAAAAAAAACCGTTCTGGGTTTAAAAAACTAGCCGTTGGGGGGGTTTTGTGACCGTTTTTGACCGTTTTTTTCTTTAAAAAATTACCATTTTACCACCCTAAACATGTATAAATAGGTTGGTGATGTATTTGGTTGATTACAAATTTCTCAAATCTTATTACACAACACTTAAACATCTCTCAAATCTTATTTTTGTAATTTTTTGTTCATCATGAGTAACACGGCTGAATCTTCCGTCGGGGGAAACCTTGAAGTCGTGAGAGTGATCGAACACACTCGAAACAAAGACATTTGGGATCACTACGATTTATGTGAGATGTCAAATGGCTCGAGGAGGGCGCGTTGTAAACTTTGTCTAAAGTTTCTTGCATCGGAAGGAAACACAACGTTGAAGAACCATTTGACAAAATCATGCAAGGCACTTCTCTCAAGATCGGATCCTAGTCAATCGAATCTTACACCACAAGGTGGTGTTTTTGTTTACGACAACGAAAAATTACGAGAAGCGTTTACAAAGTTCGTGATTACAAAAGCATTGCCGTTCGACCACTTTGATGATGAAGATTTCACGATAACAATTCAACAACTAATGCAACCACGTTATACTCAAGTAAGTCGTACTACCCTTAGAAGAGATGCTATAAAAATGTGGCGTACGGCGAGGGAAAAAATGATTTTAGGATTCCAAGAACACCGTTATGGTGTGTCGCTTACATGTGACGTTTGGAGTTCCCCTCATAATACCGGAAATTCTTTTTTAGCCGTTACGTCACATTGGTTAGATCAAGATAATTGGCAAATGATGAAAAGAACAATCGCGTTTGAATTATTCGGTGAGCCGCATACCGGTGCTAATTTATTTACACTTTTAAAAAGGGTAATTTGTCTTTATAAATTAGAAAATAAAGTTTTTCTATATCCTTTGATAATGCATCGAATAATACAAACGCGGTTCCAAGATTGAAAATATTACTTTCACCGATTTTAGACGGTGTGTTTTTTCATACCCGTTGCGTTGCACACATAATTAATTTATCCGTGCAAGCCGGTTTGGAGGTTATTGAGTCGATTAGATTAGAATTTAAAACAATAATAAAATCGGTTCTTTGTAACAACAACAAAAGACTAAATGATTATAAACGATTTTGTAAGTCCGTTAATAAAAAAGCTTTGGGTCCTAATTTGGATTGTCCAACTCGTTGGAACTCAACTTGGATGATGATGCATACTGCCTTAAGGCAAAGGGAAACATTGCAAACATTTCACGATCGACTTTTCGAGAGGGGTCATGTCCCAAACATTTATCCGGATTCGAGTTGGGAAACTATAGCCAAAATAACCGATTTGCTTGAGGTTTTTAAAAATGCAACAACTTTTTTATCTGGTGTTTATTACCCTACTAGCCCGTTGGTTCTTAATCAAATATTTTTGTTGGCTACCCGACTAAATGACTTTGAATTTGAAACCGAAGTTTTTCAAGAAATTGGCTTTGCAATGAAGGAAAAACTTTTAAAATATTTTAAGGAGATTCCCCCATTTTTACTTGTGCCGCCGCTTTAAACCCAACGTTAAATGTTGGTGGGGTTGAAACACTAATTGAACAAATTGCGTTTGCTTTTAATCTAACCGATGATGAACCCAACTTTGTCCAAAACCAAATAAATTATTTTAACAAATGTTTTCGAGACATGTTTGCAATTTATTTAACTAAATACGGATCAAGTAGTGTAATACACGATCAAATGAGAATGAATGCGGAATCATCTAGTAGACGTCCAAGTAACATAAATTTGAATCTTTTTAACACTCTTGTAAATTCCCAATCCAAACGATCACGTACTACCACCCCAAGTAGCGAGTTGGGAAATTACATGTCATGCGATTTTCTATCAAAAATGACATTTGAAGAGTTTGAAAGTTTGGATATTTTGGCTTGGTGGAAAGAAAAGGAAGCACAATTTCCGATTCTAGCCGCCATGGCCCGTGATTTACTAACCGTCCAAGCTTCTACGGTAGCTTCGGAATCCGCTTTTTCTGTTAGTGGCAGGGTTATATCGCAACGGAGATCAAGACTAAGTCCCGAGTCGGTGGAAGTATGCATTTGTTTAAAGGATTATTTGGATGGAGCGGCTCGTAAGCAACATATCACCACCCTAGAAGATGCAATTGATGCCGATTTGGAAGCAAACTTACACATTGAAGAAGTCGAACTTGGAATATCCCCTCCAAACGAAGAAGGCGAAGATGATGAAGAAGAGATGGCAATGTAGTTTATTTTATAACTTTATTTCAATTATCGTAAACTTTGCTTCAATTATCGAACTTGAAGTTTTTAAGTATTTGAATTTATCGAACTTGAAAGTTTTTAAGTATTTGAATTTATCAAACTTGGAAGTATTTAAGTATTTCAATTATGTTGAGTTAATTAAGTATTTCAATTAAGTATTTGAATTTATCGAACTTGAGGTTTGATGCTTTCTCTTTGATTCTCTCTTGATTCTAGTTGCTTGATGTTTCTTGTCTTTTATCAATGGCTTCTAAGCTTGCTTAAATACACCTTGAATCACTTCTGAACGTTAGTGATAATTAATGAAGATAATATAGCCGTTTAAGTGTGAAAACATTTAATAAAAATGCTTGGAGCGTGGGGGAATCGGTACCCTCTCATAGGGAATCGATTTCCTCTCATAGGGAATCGGTTCCCTAAGTGTAAAATTCAAATATTTCGACCGTTGAATAAGGGGGAATCGGTACCCCCTATGGGGGAATCGGTTCCCTCCGAGCATTCTGAAAATCTCGGAGCCAAACCATTCAGTGAGGAATCGGTACCCCCTTGGGGGGGAATCGATTCCCTATGAGCAATCTGGAATATTAAAATCGGTTTTTTTATAACCGGTTTTTTTAAAAAAAACCGGTTTTTTTAAAACCGAAACCGGTTACACCGGTTAGGATATCCGGCCCTCCAAACCGGTTAAAAACCGAACCGGTTATTTTATAAACCGGTTTTTTTTCTATGGGAAAAAAACCGGATCGGATAAAAACCGATCCGGATCGGATTGAAATCCGACAAATGTTCATCTCTAGTCGTGTTGTTTTGTTGAGTCATTTGATTATTAAAAGTTATAAAATGATCCTCCGACTATAGGATGATGTTTTGTTGAGTCATCGATTATTAAAAGTTACAAAATTCATATATTCTAAACTCGTCATTTACCGTTTAAAAATTTGATGGTCGTTTTGTTGAACTTGGATAAGATAAAATAATATTTTCATAATGTCTACTTACACTGTCGTTATTTTTAAGCAATGATTTGACGACATAATATTTTAAGTATTGGTTTGACAATGTAATATTAACGGATAGTTTATCCATAAAACATACTTTTGGGATCAGATTGTATCATAACCTAATCAACAAGTTAACATCAAGATTATATGACCACCAATTTTTTTTTACAGAAAATGATGAACTTAGAACATAAGAATAGTTAGATAACTATTTTATAATTTTTAATAGTCGGAATATCATTCAATAACTTATAATAGTTGAAACTCAACAAAACAATATTCGATAATCAATAGACTATTTGTGTATTTTACCCTGTAAAAGATATTTTTTATTGATCTAGAGTAAGTGTAAGGTAATATATGTTCAAAGATTTATCATTGAACACTCATGTAGTTAACATTCTTAGTATTCAAATATGAAATCTCAAAATATAATAACAATTCATTTTCTTCTGACGTCATTTAGTTCGTGGGTATAGATAATTAAATTTGAAATACGATTCAATATAAATCTAGAGTAACTATGGTATTATGGTAATATATTAAAGAAATCAAGCCTGATTCCATTAAATTCGAATTCCTATATAAGCCTCAACGAAATATAAAGAGCACCGACATTTAAAAACCTCACGAAAAATACCCGCAAAAAGAAGAAAGCGTTGGTCTGAAATGGGAAACCGAAGGTTCGCTCAGGTGTCCACTAGCGACGATGAGGATGAAGCTCCGATACCTCCCCGACGGTCCCGACCGGAAGATACGAGGCCGGAAAGGAAGAGGCAGAAAATGAAGCTGCTTGAAGAGGACGATGAAGAGGATGAGAAGGAAAATAAGAAGAGGAAGAAGAAAAAGAACGAGGTCAAGGAGGAAGAAGAACAAGAAGAGGAAGAACAGGAGGAAGAGCCAGTTCAGGAGGATGCAAAGCCGATAGGGGATGCTATTAGGGTTTCTGGGAAAGGAAGAGGAAGGAGGAGTCATTATGAAGCGTTTGAGTTCGATGGCAATCGATATGATCTCGTGAGTTCCTTATTTTCATTTTGGATTCTTATGGGGGTTTGCTTTTTTTTATTGGTTGGATTCTGAATTTAGAGGTTTTCTGTTGAGGAGCTTGTGTCGTGTTTTTATGCGGCATGATTTGATAGGTTTTGCGGGAATTAGGGTTTTGAACATTTTGGCTTGTTGGTTCTTTTTCTTATATGAATTTATTATCTGATTTGTTGTTTGTTTCTGTAATTGTCAGATTGCATAATTGATTTCAATGTATTATAAAGTGATTCTTCCTCTGAGTGGCTGAAGGTGCTTTCCCTGGGTCACTTTTTTCAATTTTAATTTTGAAGAGTTAAGTGGAAAAGGCTTTTGGTTTTAACATTTCTTTATGGCAATTTCGGGTTTTAATTGTAGATGTTTCCAAGTTTGTGAAGAGTGATAATACTTTCTTTAGCGTCTTAGGGATTTTGAGTTGTGGAAAGTGACAATACTATCTATAGATTCTCAGTGATTGTGGGCAAAGAAAACTGAAATGGAACACTGATTCCTGGTATAAATGAGTTTTTAACTTTGGTTTTATTGTTATGTTTTTCGGTTACCCTTTTAAATAAGTATAATTGTTACGAATTATGTATATTTTGTTGTTTTTTGGTTCATTACAATTGCACCTGTAGCAGTTTTATGCTGGTAGAAGCTGGAAATAGTATTTTGTGAATCGAGTATGCATGTTGAACTGATTTAAGAAATGCTGTTACTGAATATTCAAGTGGCCCATTTCTTGTGGCAGTCTGTTTTATTTTGTTTGCAGCTGTAGTTTGTGCATTTGTGTATTGTTATTCTTCACTTAGATGGTCAATTTTACCAATTTGTGACATTTCTCCTTTATGTCATTATTTATGTTTTCTAGCGTTCCTCTACAGGAGGATCCGGTTCTTTTAGTTCCTGAAGATCAGGAGCAGAAGCCTTATGTGGCCATCATTAAGGTAATTGCATTGTTTGGTATTACATTTTAGTTTCTTTATTTTCAAAATATTTTTAGTCGTTTCCTTTGCAAATAATGGAGTTTTTATCTATATGATAGGACATTAGTCAGGCTAAAGATGGGAGCATTATGGTTACCGGCCAGTGGTTTTATCGCCCTGAAGAAGCTGAGAAAAAAGGTGGTGGAAGCTGGCAGTCACGTGATACCAGAGAGCTGTTCTATAGCTTCCATCGGGATGAGGTTCCAGCAGAATCTGTGATGCACAAGTGTGTGGTGCACTTTGTTCCCATACATAAGCAACATCCCAAACGGAAACAGCATCCGGGTTTTATTGTGCAGAGAGTTTATGACACTGTGGAGCGGAAGCTTTGGAAGCTAACAGATAAAGATTATGAAGATAGTAAACATCATGAGATTGATTTACTTGTTCAAAAAACTTTATCACGTTTGGGAGATCTCCCTGACCTTGAGACTGATGATACTGCTCCAGTTGTTGATCAGGAAGAGCAGCTAAAGGCAAAAAGATCTCTCAGGAAAAAGAACATTTCACCTCTTGATGTTACAAGGAGTGATGAAGGAACTGCTAGGTCTGATCAACATCTGAAAGCTGAAACTCCTGGAAGCTGTACAAGTAATACCAGTGAATACTACACAACTTTGTCAAAAGCTAAGGTGCTAACCGGAGTAACCCATCGTGATAAGTGGATGGAGAGGCTTCTCCAAGCTGTTCAATATGTGTGTAGTTCTCCTGAACTTGATGACAAAGCAAAAGGTGGTTCTGATAGCTTGGAACCTGAAAGAGACACCAAGAGTTCAGGAACTGCAAATGGATCTCAAGAGAAGAGTTCAAATGTGTGCAGTGGCTTACTTGACTATGTTTAGTTTTTATAGTAGGGATATCTTTCTGTTTTCACCCATGTGGTGATCAATAGGAATTGAATGGTAGTTGCTTAAAGAGATGATGATTTGCACAATATTTATTGCCCTTCTCCATTTGCAGGGTGACAAGTCTTTTCAGTGGCCAGATGCTGCTGTTTCCTCTGTAACTGCACTTGAGAAGGCCTCATATGATGCTTATTCACCTGACATGAAATATAACCAGAAGTTACGGCAGCTTATGTTCAACCTGAAGGTAGAGTGCTTTCTGCTTATGAGCCTATATAGATATCTTTCCTTGTTTCAATTTAGGATGATGTTGATTCTTGTTTCTTTTTCACAGAACAATTCATTGCTAGCTCGACGTCTACTAAATGGAGAATTAGAACCTTCAACAATACTTAACATGACACCTGCTGAGTTAAAGGTATAGTTTTGTGGGGTGTTGAATTTTCTTTCATGCCAGTTTAAGAGAGCGATAGCTACCCCATGCAGGTGAATATGTTGGCTCTTGAACCTGGTTATTTGTTGGCCATTTATTACCTATTAACTGGTTTTAGTATCACATGGACTTGACAAAATTTAACCTTACAATTGTCTGTGACTAATTTCTTCTATGCCACTCTACTTGCATTCTGGGGGCAGCCCACCATGGAGCAAAGTTTTTATCCTATCTTAGTAATTCTTTCTTCTATGTTTAGACAAATTAAAAAAAAATCCAATTAAATATGTCTTTTATAAGTTGGAAATAGAACATGATTAATGGTTTCAACTGTAGGAGGGCTTGACTGCTGAAGAGACAGCCAAAAAAGAGCCTGATGAATTTGAGCGCATGCAGGTCGTTCTCTCTACCTAATTCAAACAAAAAAATCCGTTAACATCTTTGTTAACATGGTTGACACGTGCTAACTGATTGTTCTCTTAATCTTAAAACAGATGACTGATGCCCGGTGCTCAAGATGCAATGAATTTAAAGTCTGTCTAAGGGACATTATCCAAGCAGGACATGGAGATCGCTACCAGGTTATCTCATATCTTCATCTCTGATTCCATCGCTGTTACTTAGTATAAGGTTGGGTTGCTCTAATGGTGTGATAAGTTGATTGAGCTAGTGCTTTGATTGTGTTTCACTCTAGCTAGACATGCACTAGTTTTTGAACTTGTTTATGTACAAGATACTAAAAACCAAAACTACAGGCATTTATCTGTGGTCCCCATTCCCTATGCACAATGTTGTCAACTTGATCATGCATCCGTATTTGTGGATTCGTCTTTGTACAAGATTTCCAACTTAGAAGTTCACTAACCATGTTAAGTAAGAAGACAACTGTTTATGGATAGAATTTACATTTTTATCAGAGCATAATATAGACAAAGTATATATCAGACATACAAAATGGTATCATAAATCTATCTTGTCTGAAATGGATGGAATATCAGACCACATTTTCTGGAAATCTCAAGGTAACTACATGCATAAATTCTAGGTAATTTCAAGCACTATAAGTTTGTTCTTGAATATATATTTAGATATTGATTTTCATCTTTAACAATTAAACCTTAAATTTCCATTTGCATCAGTTGGAATGTATTGCATGTGGAAACTCCTGGTATGCTTCTAGAGACGAGGCATCCTCACTTACAATAGAGCCATCATCAAGTTCTGCCAAAGGACTTGGTTTGGGACAACCAACCAAGGGTAAGCCTGAAATTCCCGAGAAGAAGCCGGTTAGCCCTTCTGTCAAATGTGTTGGTTCGGGACAACCAGCCACGGGGAAGCCTGAAATTCCCGAGAAGAAGCCGGTTAGCCCTTCTGTCAAAGGTGTTGGTTCGGGACAACCAACCACGGAAAAGCCTGAAATTCCCGAGAAGAAGCCAGTTAGCCCTTCTGTTAGAGGTGTTGGTTCGGGACAATCGGCCACGGGGAAGCCTGAAATTCCCGAGAAGAATCCGGTTAGGCCCCGCGAATCAGAATCTACTAAAAATGTGGAATAAGAAAATTGACCTTTTGTACAGTTGAATGTTTGAATATTAGTTAGAAATAGTCATAAATGTATACATTTATTTATATGAAGGTAAGGGTAGTAATAAGTTTCAGCAAGAGTTGTTGGTTTATATTCTCAAACTTAAGCTGAATTTGTTCCTGTTACTTTAAATAACGAGATTTAGTTCCGTATTGCTTTCAGAAAATGTTTTTTGAAAAGCATTTTTACAAAAATCAAATTAGCTTTTGTAATACTTTTTAACCCCGGCAAAGTTATATGATTTTGCACTATTTTTAATTTTAAAAGAATTTCTAATTTTAAAATCTTTTATAAAAAAATTATTGAATTTTGTATGAAATAAAATAGTTTATATACAAAATATATCTTTTTAAAATTTAAATAATTAATTATTATATGTAAAATAATAAAATATTGACTTATCTATTGACAGTGGAAAATATATTTTATAAACAGAGTAAAATTTTTACGTTTTAGCGTGTAGGTGTTAAAATGTAAAATTTAGGTATAATATAAACAAATACCCCTAACATTTGACATTATAGCATTTTTGCCCAAATCGTTTTTTTTAAGCAGTTATACCCGCAACGTTTAAATCTGATTCAAAAGTCATCCCCGTTGGATGGAAACCGTCAGTCAACTGACGGTAAACGACTCTAGCTGACTAAGCAAGCACATGCGTACAATGATGATGACGTAGTGTCCACATCACTAATATATGCTGACGTGAAATTAACATGTCAGCAATTTTTTTTATTTAAAAAATTAATTTCAATTAAAATTTTGCACCAATAAGAGAGTGACACACTCTCCTATTGGTGCGTATTGGCAAGAATGAATAAAGGCTCTTACACGCAAGGAAGGGGAATCAGGTGCAAGGGCATGTCCCTTGCCACCAACTCACCAAGACTAGCATGCTATTCAGTTTTAAAATAAAACAAAAGATCATTTAACCCATATTATATGTTCAGGCCAACCATTTTCCATGGGGCAATCACTCTCGGTTCTGCAGAAGATAAGTGGTTTAGCAAGTCTCCGGCTAGGGGCA